AATTTTTAGAGTCCCAGACGTAGCTGCCCATCATTATTCTTTAAGGAAAAAAGCGTAATTATATATTTTTTTATAGTACATCTAAGACGTTTTCTATAACTGATAAATCATGTTTGCATAGTCTGGTGCAGAAATTTAATGCACATGTAAACCAAATAAAAGATGAATTGGCTGCAATTGTTTCTCGTGATGATGAATTACCTAAGGCAAAAGTTAAGAAACTGCTGCAAATTATCTGTATTCGATGCAGTTTTTCACGCTAATTCCGAATATGGTATTATTATTGAATAAATGTATTTCCAAAAGGAGATAATCTGATTTTACCTGGAAAACCAACGGATTTCTGGAAAACCTATAACTGAGCCCAAGGGCATTTGCACTAGTTTGCGCTAACAGCCTCGATATATCGTTAGTAGACGATTGTTCGGTGAAAATTTCATTGAACTTGGAGCTTCGCTTACCTTCGGGCACCCATTATACTGCGGTACGCTTTTTGGAACACACTTAGCGTAGAAAGAAATTTTTTTTCTCGGTGGTAAAGCGTTTTGGAAAATTTTTCTTTTAGGAATAGATAGAGTCAAAGGTCTAGTTTCGCACGATATATAAGTTTTGCAAAAATCGTACTTTGTTTTGACGAAAATAATTTTTTTAACTCAATCGCTCTGATTTCCGACAAAAAATTTACATGGCGATTTTGTCGCTAATTATGACACCTGGAAAAGACTGCCAATGGCAAAAAGATAGAGCGTTTGCCCAAGTATATGGCCTGCTATTTGAATTTGCCAAAAGTCCACTTTCGTTTTTTCACCTAATGTCCACATAGTTGCCTACTGTGGGCTGGACATAATTGAAAATTTACTATGTCTGCAGTTATTCAAATCTGCGCGTTCGTTGAATATACAAGAGGACTGCATCCAGCAAACATGTTAAAGTATCATGATCTAAGTCTAAGCCACTAGGTAACAAAGTGTCAACTGAGAATGTAGACATGAAACAAAGTTTTTGCGAAAGATTTTGTCGTTGCGTAATATGTAGTGAACAGTGCAAAAAATAATGATGGATATCCTCCCTATTATTTCCGCGATACATTTAGGTGAATCTATATAATTACGCCGATAGAGATAGTAATTTAGCGGCGGAAAATTTGCTTTTATCCGAATAAAGATCATTTCCTCCCGTCGCGTAGAGAACTTTAATTTTTTAGAAAAAAACACCTGCTGAGATATACTGACTTTTTAAAGTACCGCGCAATTATGATATTTTCATAGTTGATAAATTCGTGTCTTTCAAAGTAAGGTTATTCCATTCTCGCACAACAACAGTAAAAAAATCTCTATCTATACTATTTACTACTATAAGAAAAGATCGTTGATTACTGCGTAAATCGTAGGTTCCATTCAGTTGGCGAATTTGTAGATGAAAAGTTAAGTAGAGAGGTGCTAATCCTTTCACAATTTTTGCTAAAGTCAGCAATCGCAAAATTTTAAAGTGATTCTTTACATTAATCTACATGATTAGTAGGAGTGTATTCGTCACTTATGTCTGTTGTTCAAATAAAAAACGTGTTTTACCTGAGATTCATCTTTAGAAGTACAAAAAAAGCATAAAAATATTATTGATTCAGCTTCGGTTGTTATGGACACGTTCACAGAACAAAGTCAAAAATCTCACCAGACATTTAGAGCGAATCAATCATATCGTTTTGACGGTAAACGCTTCAACTCAAGTTTTCCATTATACTTTATATTATCAAGGCATCTGATTTTCTGGCTGTAGGTACCATTTATGTCACAATAATTTCAAATATTAACATGAATTAAAATAATGACTAAACCTACTGTCAGTCAAAACAAAAAGAATGGACGGGCCCATTTTTTTTGTTAATGTTTGATAGAAACGTGTTAGAACCCTAGATTTTCACCGATCAAAAGCCAAGATGGTAAACATCAACTTTTAACCTCATGAGACAGGGACAGGCTAATCTGAGCATTAACGGAATAATTATTCTGATAATGCTAAAATTCTATACCATATCATAGATAAGAGAATTTGACTTTTTTTGTGAGTACATCCGGTTTATCGTTTCCCGGGGAAGCGATGAAAAAACGATAACACTTTAGTGGCATATTAAAATTTTTACGCCTAAATTTATCAAAAACATTTCAGTATATTTGAAGCATCGATAACGAAATTTGTTTTTTCACAAGTCGATTTAGACGACCATGCGCCGAATGTATACAGCTGCTACTTTATATCACTTTATATAATATACAAAATTGTAGATTCCTTTTTAACGTCCTTCTTTGCACCCTGTTTCTACGTCCCAATCTTTACGTCCTTTTTTTACGTCGGAATCTTTACGTCGTTTTCTTACGTCGGAATCTTTCCTTCTTTTTTTCACGTCCGAATCTTTACGTCCTTTTCTTACGTCGGAATCTTTACGTCCTTTTTTGCGTCCGTTTCTTACGTCGGAATCTTTACGTCCTTTTCTTACGTCGGAATGTTTGCGTCCTTTTTTTACGTCTTTTTCTAACGTCCTAATCTTTACGTTCTTTTTTTGCTTCGAATTGAGATAAAGGAACAGAAGATATTAAAATATTCATTTTAAAAGTCTATACAATTGATATATCAGCACATTTTTACTTAAATATAGTCATTTGTTACACCCCATACATCTTGAACGTTTTTGTCCTCCATGAATTCAGTTTGCGATAAATAGTTCATTCGTTTCCGAATCGGAAAGAGATCGGATGTTATAACTGATCTACCAATACCGACCCTTGATGCGGAGATACCACTCTTTGAACAATTTCTCAGATGAAATAAAAGAAGGAGGAAGATGGACGATGCTGGAAAATTGAAGCTTCGAAGTGATGCTTTTAAACGAGATAAATAATTGAAATATTGTTCACACAATTCTGTGTTAATCCCATCGAATTTTCCATTGTGACTTGAATCGTCAGCTTTCATCTCTCGTTGACAGATTTCGCGCTTGTGATTCTTCTGGTGAAAGCGATCTATAACAACTGTTATGTTAATAAGTTTGTTGTGTGCGTGAGTTCTGAAGAAATGTGGTTCCAATCCCATGTCTTTCATCCTGGCAATTTCCTGTCGGGATCCCGCAAGATCCCATTCGGGATCCTGTGCGGGATCCCGCTCAAAAACTATCGGGATCCCGCGGGATCTCGGCACTTATCGCGGGATTGCCGGGATCCCGTCAGGAAATTAATGTTATATTATCGCCTTAATGAACGCACGATAATGGATCGAATGCCAACTCCATCCTTCTTTTTGGTTCTTTTGCCGTATTGTTGAATTTGAATTCTGTGTTACTGTTTCGAATCTAGTTTATTATTTACTAATTTTTGTATTTTTTCACATGTTCAGAGCGTATAATAAGCAAAAGAATGGAGAAATAAGAAAAGGATTACTTAGTTAAAAGAAAATTCTAAAAGCATAATTCAGATGAACTTTTTCCGGTTGTTCAGTCTGTTCTTCTTGTGCCAACTCGAATCTCTTATTGAGAATGTTCAGTTATTAGTCGTTTGCACATGTTCCCGATAGAGGGGAAGGGCAAGGAACAGATGACGAACAAAAAATTTAAGAGTCGTTGAAAATACTTACAAAAGAATCTTCAAATAACTCTGCCTTCTTTTCTCAATTTACTTCGTGTATTTGAACATAGATCACGAAACGAATTTAGAAGAACCGTTTCATAATAACGTGCAAAACTTTCAGGTTTAATTTTAAATTGACAAATTATTGCCTCTAGAAAGAATAAAACAGGAAAAATTAATGCGTAAAAAAAATGCGTAAATTTTTGTAGCTAATTCTTCATCAGTGAAAAGCTTTCGCATAACCTCACGACCGTATTTAGCAGGCGTGTTACCGCGTACTTCAGACAAATTTATATCTCCAGAAACTGATGTATAAATCTAAATAAAAATATTTTTAACAAAAACAAATCGTAAAAATAACTCTTTCCCGTACATATGGATATGAATAAATGGTAGTATTATCCACTTCAAATTCTTTATTTTTACTACTTGTATTGGTCTAAATATGTAAAAAATGAAATTTTATAGCGTGTACGTCCTGTACGACATGAAAATAAAAGTTTGTCAAAGAGATTACATACTAATTCTGTGGTATGTTTTTTTATCGAAAGTAAGTTAATTCTTTTCCAAATGATACAAATTGAGCAGAAATTGAATTAGCTAATTTATCTAAACTATTTTGTGTTCCTGAATGATGATAAGAAGAATTAAAGCTGCTTGTATTCGAGCTTTCGGTCGACGATGATGATGATGAAAGATCATTTCATCTCTCGCTGCTGCTGTTGTTGTCGTTGTTGATATGTATTTTGCCTTTTTTTGACAGTACTTCGATCTGGATCATCACGTGCAAAATTCGTGGTGTAACCACCTTCATCATCATCAAGAGTAGCAGCACGTTCACCGGCATTATCAGTCACCGTGAAAGTACTGCCATGATGTCTTTTGCGTGTCGCAACCACTACTGAAGCAGAACAATAAAACAGCGAGAAACATATGGTGCATTGAAAAAGATTTTTTAAGCTGACTCTGGTCTAAGAAAAGTCTTTTAGTAAAATGTAATTCAGACATAGATATAATATCGTTTACGAGCTGAAATATATCAAAGTCAAAGCAACACAGAATTTCACACATGTTAGTTGCAGAGTACTAAGACAGTCCGCTACACGTAAATCTTATTAAATTCTATAATAATAAGTTGATACCAGCCTCTGATTATTCACCGAAACATTCTGTACTAAACGCGGTAGATAATGGCTGAAAGCAGCTTTTTACTCTCATTCAGGGCACACGTCGAGAAGGACATGGCTTGGTAGAAAAATTTGTATCGAATGCACAAAAAATAGGCAAAAATTGCCCTATAGGCTCTTGCAACTATAATAATAACTATAATAACTATTTTTGCGTGCTTGCAGGTGGTGGTTGCAGTTTTATGCTGCTTAAAAACTGTCTCTAGACACGCAAGCAATGAGAAGGCAATTTCTGACGCTATGGTATTCACAATTACACTATCTCATTGAGCGCTAAATTATATGAAAAATTGGAAATGGGTAAATTTTAAAACTAGCTCAAAAACTCACTGTTAGATACCTTCACACGCAAGCTTTTGGAAAGCGGGTATTTTTCTCTTTCTTGCTTACTTCATTCTGCCTCTCAAACCGAATGCCAAATAAATTACGATGAAGTAAAGCCAGACATATTTGTGAAAGCACGGTGATCTATACAGAACTGGCTGAGCTAAAGTTTTTGTAAATCTCAATTCGTAAAACATTTTGCAACGCATTACTTTTACAAAAAATGCTCTATATAACGTTACGCTACTGACTTTGAGTATTTTGCAGATTATCATTATCAGCAGCATGTGTTTGTGATCGTATTACTACTGCACGTTGACCACTTGTCAACGCAGACGATCCTAAAATTTAAATGATAACTATTAAGATTATACTAAGGGTGTTCCAAAAGTAATGGCAACATGCTTTATTACCATTTAAAAATTAAAAACTTTCAAAAACTAAGCAATGCATAATAAAGTATATTCAATAAGCTTTCGAATGATATATAATACTT